ATCTTCACACGCGACATGATGCCCGTGTTCTTGATCATCGCACACCCTTCCACGTGATTCCCCTTGAGCCACTCAGTGGCCACAGACCAGAGAACAGCCAATTTGGAGGCCACGATCGTACCATTCTCGTCCGCTTGGATCTGTAACTTCATCACGTCGCTACAGGTGAGAGGACGCAACAAGGCCCGCGACCACGTCCTTCACAGATCATCCGGAGCGTCAGGGGTCGACTCCCGGGACTCTTAAGCCTAAGGTAGATCGAATGTCATTCGACGACATCCGCTGAGTGGAGCATATGAAAAGTCGCTCGAATGTCGTTCCATGCCATCCAAAAACAGTGGGCAAACGACAGTTCTTCGATCTGCTAATTTTCTTTCTATTTCGTCTTATTTTTCTTGTTGTTTTGCTGTAGTTATAGCTCAAGTACAGCAAATAGCCAGTGCAATTCAACACAAAACGCATAACTTTCTACAATCACACTGCAACTTTAATTTCTTTCTCGATAAGTAGTCTGATATTACCTCTTCTGTCAACGCCGTCCGCCTGAATCTCACAGGTCGCCACTTCTGCAGGTAACACACGTGTCACAGCCAATTTACCGTCGACTAAAATGTCGGCATTCACAATACGCAGGTGACTCAACATAACGAACACGCTGCTAGTCAACGCGCAGACGTTTCTAGCGCTCGACAGACAACAATGGCGAGCTAAAAGTCGACAATAAGTTGCGATGCATTATTTCTAGTGCCAGCCACCATTTCCTTGACGCCAAGACAGAGAGATGCAACGCTCCAACTATATCTCCACCATGACCACTTAAATGCCCGTTTCCAGAAACAACTTCACCATAAGCACGACTTGCGTGCTAGTCATGCACACCTTGTCCATCTACCGTAGGCTCCGACTTTTACAACTGTCCTCTCCATCTCTCCTCCGCACACCGACATTGGAAGGCATTTAAAAAAAACTTGAAGTATTCATATTTTGCCTTTTGCAAACCAAAACCAGTCCATTCCTGATTAAAACTAAACAATATCAGTATATTGTCTTGTTTTTTTTCACAATCACCATTCAAATATCAGGTAAGATCACAGTCATCACACCATCCACCTCAGACGGTAGCGTACTCCTACTAGTGTATATCTTGCCTACGCTGTCCATTATGAATGCTTTATTGAGCCAGGAAACTAAACAACGCAAAACACACTAAAACCTTTATAAATTATTTTCATTTACTTATTCGTTAATGCAATAACATATTTGCTTCCATGGCTGTGTAAGCTTTGCAGAAGGGAAGCGTGATGGAGGCGGCCTCTCGAACCAGCATTAGCTAGGATTGTAGGCTGAACTGCCTTGTCACAACACTGACCATTCATTTTAGTAACAGCACGACATTGAATCTTGTCTACCACACGTGACGCACCCAAGCACGTGGATCCTCCACGGACTCGCGAGGAACCCACTACTTCCGAAGTGAACACCCCACCGCAACCAAAGCCGTCTCAGCAGCGAAGTGTCCGCGGCATGCCACTACGCTAAACAGTCGCCGCCCCCTCTCCTGCATAGAGCGCACCACTACAGCCGATGACAGCTCGCCTACGCCCCGCAACTGATATGTGATGTTGGGATTTCCACCTTCGGCCCACCTGTGGATTACGCAACAGCCAGAAATGGTTTAGGAGCTGTGGGTCACGGTACAAACTCAGCGGCCGTACGGATACCATTTTCCTGATGACCGCTGAGTTCAACCGCCGCTGAGCTCAGCGGAATTGACTCGGCCAGATCCGAAACGACTTCATTTCACTTGATATTGTAAAGAAAGTATAGGAGAAAGTAGGAGGAGCCCAAAGCGGCTCCCGAAGGATAACAGACAACAGAGCAGAATTTCCCTAGTCCAAGACACGTGTACATTCTTCCGGTAAGTCCCGTGCTAGATTATGTCTGCCGTCGGTGCCCGAGAGACATAAGCTTATAGGGTACTTGACTGATAGAGCCAAGAGATTGGGTTGGCCCGGCTAGGGCACAAGGTCGCGCCAAGCGCAAAGAAAGAACAAGCCCCGCCGAGTTCAGTGGGCCGGTACGCCGTACAGACCGGGTGCCGTGACACTTCTAGCCCAGTAGTCTTTGGCTCGATGACCTGTAAAAGCGCTTGCACGCCGTCGTCCATCCTTTGTTGGAGAGCACAGGGTATTTTGTGCAAGAGATCAGCTGAGTCGATCTCGGCTGAGCCTCGAAAGAGTCTGACTTGGATAGTCGGCGCTCGGCGAGAGCACGACCACACGCCTGTCCCGGCTGGCCCGAACCGCGAGGGGGCCACCCTCTGCGCAGGCCATACGAACTCCGACCTAACTCGGCGATTTGTTGCGGTTTGTGTAAGGAATTCACATCTGACGGTATTTATGTGTTCTACTAAACCACAGCTCCACATCACTGCGCTACACCGCCAGCGCAGTCAGCGCAGGCACTGCAGCGAGGCTCCCTTGTCGCACCACGCCGTCCCTGAATAGGACACACCGACGCAGCCAATGCCGACATTGCAGTGAGGTGCCCACGACGTGCCACTACTCCACGCTACTCGCTTCTCCCCACCGCAGCCAATGCTGGCACTGCAGTGAGGCTCCTTTGTCGTGCCCCGCGCCGCACCGCTTTCCTTTTTGCGAACATGCGCCGAGTTCCAGTCTGCTTTTAACCAACTGTCGTTCTTACGAGCTCTATAAGAGATGGCAGTTTTTTTAGGAGCTCTAAGAGCATCTCCAGCGGTAGGCTCTAACGATGGTTTTTATCCCAAAAGTTGCGCAAATAAATCTATCGTAAAGTTTTATTGCCCCACCCGTTGGTGGTATTATTAGTTTTAACTTTAGGAAGATCTATAATTCTGGTCCAAGGACTTTATATAAAACCTCAGTTTAACGAAAGGAAACCTTCACTGACGGAAACTTGCAGTACGATGGGGAAGG